CACATATTACCTCCTATATCTTGATGACTACTTCATTCTTTTTTGAGGTCCCGAGAGGGAGTCTGGAATTATGGAAACCATTCTCAATGTTTATAAAGCAGTCTATTAACCTGGATAAATCAGAGTTTTTTTTTCCAGTATGAACACTCCCTAAGGCATGTGTGAGTCCATGACAAGGATCTTGGGTGTCCAAATCTGTGTGAAAGTGAGGAGAAATTTGGGCTTGCGCTTCCTTGGTAGGGCGTAAATGGATCTTTCTCCCCCTCTTCTCTCTCTATTTACACACACACTCACACACACACCTAATTTCATCATAGTTAGCCTATGTGCGAATGTATTTAGATATGTATGAGTTGACCCTCTTATATTAGATTTTTTTTCTATTTTTCTTTTAAAATCTAAATATTTTAGTAATAATGGAGTAAACTATTTTTTTTATCATGCAAATTAAGAAAAAAAACTCACATGTGTATTTAAAAATAGATTTGTTGGCTCATTTAAAATGAAATTTATTAATTTTTAATGTAAAATATAATTTTAAATAGATTAATAATTAACATCAACCATTTAAAAATGCCAAATCGAACCTATAAAAAAGTCCATGATAAATAATTAGACAAGTTTAGACTTTAATTTTATAAAATAGGTTTGATCTATATATTCTAAGTTTGATCCGCCTTTATTCCCATCTCTAACGAGCACTTTTAAAATCACTTACGATATAACAAGTTTTATATGTATCTACAAAATTGGTTACATGCACAACTGATTTTATAAGGTAAACATATAAGACTGGTTTAAAAGACCCAATTTTGTATGTTCCTAACAAAATTGGTTACACATGTAATCCATCTTGTACAGTGACGGATCCAGAAATTTTAGATAGTAGGGGCAATACTTATTCATATATTTGTAGTATTAAAAATTTTATATATAACTTTTAAAAGTATAAATATATATTATAATTATTTTTTACAGTTTTTTATATCTACAATTACGATTAATGATGAAAATAAACTATGTCAAACAATGTTATATTATAATTTAATAGATTTAAACCTAATTTTCTTTAAAAATATATGTTCTAAATATGACATATTTATCTATCATAGAATTTTTTTTAAATGTTTGGTTAGAACTATCTTAAAGACCTAGTTAATAATAATTTAACACTAATAAAAATATAAAAATAAATATGTTAAATTTTATAAAAATCAAGTTTAATTTATTTATGATATAAACATGTTTTTAATATGTAATATAAATTTTTAGATGATAATTTATTTTAAAATATATTTTATAATAAAAATTATAAATAGAATATAAATCCTCCAATCTTTCCTATTTTAATTTTTTTAAATCAACGTATACAATTTTACAATTTTTACTATTTTGAATTTTTTTATCAATATATACAATAAATATAAAGTACAAAAGGTAAGCATGCTTGTTGTAAATTTTATTTTATCAAAAATTAATATATTACATTATATGTATGAACATTAATATATATATATATATTATAATTAAACTTTTTTTAAAAATTAGTTCGTTATTAAGAAGTATTTTTTATTACATATGAGAACTAATCTAATTCGAAAGTTTGACAAATATCAAGTAAATGAATAGCTCATCGAAAT